TATAAATAAGATTTGGGATTCGTTAATTAAGCAAATAAATTATGAATATGACAATTTTTTTATTGGTTTACATCTTATTTAACATCTCATAATCGTGGGCACGTACGAGAAATAAATGTTTGTAACAGTGGATACTGGTTTGACTTGGATTTTGAGCCATGATTACCATACTGCTAAATTAAGTATAATGTAACTGATAACTCCATACCACCCAAATTAAAAGCTAGCAAGGGATGAAGTCGATGAAGTCGTTTAAAGTTGTAATACTAGTATTTAGTATAGTATTGTAGTAAATATACACATCTACCACCAAGTATCATATTGCCAAAATTTACATGCCATGATGAAACATCTATAAATTTTTTGAGATGTAAGGTTAGATGAAATTTGCATTATTCCCAACTCGCTTTTTTATTTTTTCCCATATAAAAAAAGGGTGAGAGGGAAACAAAAGATCATACAATGGATTAGGCAAAAAGATTGGGTTGGGTGGAGGATAGAGATTCCTTGGAAAACATGCCAGAAGGACGTGTGGAAGAGTTAGGAAACAAACAACACTTCTTTTTTTCATGACAAGGTGTTTGACAAATTGAGCAATGAAATACAGCTTTGATGTTTCACGGCTGGCCGATATGTATGTTCAACTACTGGCCTGGGGTTTAAGGGTTGATATATATTCCTTCATGTCGAGGGAGGTGCATGAAATGTTCGATGAGATTGCCAAAAATGCCGGGAACTTGGGTTAACTTTTGTGGCATTTCAGAGAAGGATGCATGCTTGCATGCTGGCACATGCACGTGCATCTTTTATGGGCTTGCTTTGTATTTATGCGTGTGGACGGTGAAAGCTTTATATACACTGAGAGGAGTAGTATGTATCCCAAGTCTCGGCTATTTAGGGATATTATTATAGAATTTAAAACGTAATTTAATTTATTTATATAATTATTATAAAAAAATAACATTCAATAAATTTAAAATTTAAATCTCGATATCTATAATTTAATTTTTTATTTTCGTTACTATAACTTCTTTTGTAAAGAACATATTAAAATTTTTAATTGGAAAATATTTTCACAAAAATTAAAAAAAATTTAATTTTTTTCCTACAGAAACCTTGATGATTTGTTTTATATATATATATATATATATATATATATATATATAAATAGATGTGTTATTGTTGTATTGAACTAACAAGGCATTTTTCTGGTACAAGATGAATAGTGACATGTCAAAAAAATAATAAATAAAAAGATAAGCAAATGGTTGAACAATAATTATAGATTGGTGCAGCAAGTCAGATTAAGAAAGATAGCAGTTTCTGATTTTTTTTTTCCTAAAAACATCAGAAAAAGATTGAAGAGAACAACGATTAATGAACATTATTGCAGCCTTCTTAGGCAACAAAGAGAGTTGTTGTCACTTTCAAACCTTAAGATGCCGTATGCTTCAGGACTTCTTCTCTCTTATAAAGCAAATTAATGAATGAAAAAAACAATTGAGCTCTTGTCTAAGTTAGGTTAGATGTAATTTCAATTAACGAAGAATAAAATTTGTAGTAAATGAAATGTCTATTTAGTTCTAACAATTAATATATTTATGTTATATTTATTTCATATCAAATATGTATAAAATATGAAAATTACATATTATAATTTATATTCACACACTAAATATAAATTATATTTTTTGTTTGTCATATTCATATATAAATTTTTTTTAATTCTAAATTGTATCATTTTTATTTTTTATTTTATTTTTAGATTATATTATCGTATCGTATTTAAAATTATTAAATTTATGTTTATTTATCTTAAAAAATGGCAACTCATTTTAAAGGAAAATTAATTTTAAACCGAAAATTTGAATGGGGAGGAGAAATTAAAGTGTTTCACTTCGGCAAATTATTCTTTTTCCCTTATTATTGAAGGGTTTTGGTTTTTTTTTTTTTTTTTTATCAATTGCTGAATTATACTTAAAAGAGCTAGGTAGCTAGCTTTTTTGATACCGATTTGAAACAGCAGCTTTCAATTACCAAAAACTAGCAAATATCAATGGTGTGACCTTATTACCAATTTGGATATGGTCCCAACCAAGGCAAATGGAAACCTTTATTTGGTGAAAAAAGGCAGCCTAACTAGACTACTATAATCAGGGTGGCTGACTTATCTTAAAGTGCCTTGCACTTTATTAAATTTTATGGAAAAACACTTAGATTTACAAACTTAATCAAGAATTATATGATTTGTAATTACATAAGTTCATATTTGATGTATTATGGACTAATAATTTACCATTATGTGCATAATATTACTATTGATGTGATTTTTGGTCAGATGATCGAGAAATTTAATGAAGGTTAATTAGGATAATTCACGTGATTTGTCAAAAAAGAAATGTCAATGAATGTTGTAGGTAGTATTTTGGGACGCGTTTCTAATGCTCAAGTCAACAAGATATTGTAAGGAGGATGAAGTGAATGAGAGAGAGAACAAGAGGCTATGTTTGGTTAGGAAAAGCTGAGAAAAAGTGGAGTTGTGAATGTGAAATTAGAAAAAGTGGTTAGGAAAAGCTGAGAAAAAGGAGAATCAGATTGATTTATCAAATATTAAGCTTGCTCAAGTGACAATTACAATTGTTACTAACTTGAAATTTAAAGTATAACAATTGCCCTCCACAATTTTATAATTGATATTGGACATCGTATCAGAATATAGCTGACATCATATAAGAAGAAGGAAGACAGCAAGTTAAAGAAGAAAAGCCAGTAACGTAGCTGTAAAAACAGGGAGCATAGAGAGGTCAAACTCGAGTTTAATGCTGTATTAATTCGAACTCAGCTGATTATATCTGGATTGAAAAACCACTTTAATTACAGCTTACTACTACCATCCCGTTTCGCACCTGTCTTTTTCACACACACACTCTGTTCCCCCGACGTCTTTCACTGTTTGGTTCCCGAGAAAAATCGTATTCGTCTTGCATTCATTGATCGGAACACCAGCCCATTTTAACTGAATTTAATATAGCGTTGAAAAGTTTTCATCGTTTACGTGAATCATTAGAAGGCACACTATAAATTCAATAGTGTGAATTTAATTCGATTGAATTTTTAAAATTTTATTTTTAAGTTTGAATTTAGTAAAATAAAAAGAATTATTTTTTTATTTTGTAATTTAGTATCACACGTAAAAAAAATTGAATATATTTATTATGTTCGATATAATTAACAGATGTTTATAAATATGAATTACATTTTTCTATTTTTCTTACATTTTGAACAAAAAAAAGAAATAAAACTTTTTTTTTCTACAGCATGAATAAAATTATAAAATGACAGACAAATAAGATATTATTATTTATTATTGTTATTTTATAATTATTATGGACTGGGTGACTCTGCCAATTAAGGATAAATCATACACGTCTTTTCAATTTTCCTTAGGCAGAACTTTTTTTTTTTTTTTGGATTATACTTTCTAAGTTGTGCAAGACCATCCTCGTTTTCAAGTAAAACTCTCCATAATTGAATTTATGAATTTCATCCTCTAGAAACAAAGTCGAACAGTGAAATGATTTTTTTTTTTTTTAGTGTTATGGGAATCAAAATTTTCTAATTTGTTTTTTTATGAGACAATGAAAATTTTATGATTTAACATCATATTATATAAATTTAAAATTTAATTTAATTAATTTACACAATCATTTTTAAAAAATTATTAATAAATATGAATTCAAATATTTTAAAATTAAATATTAAAACTTATATGTACTCCAAATATGTCATTTTTTTAAGAAAAAAAAAAGGGAAAACATGATGGCATAATGAAGTAGCAAAAACCAAACATTATTGACTTCAACAGCCAGAACTGATCGTGATTTCAGGAACAGATATGTTTAGATGATTAGTTGACTTGTAAGATCATCTGCAAAATAAAAAAAAAATTAAAAAAAATGTTAAACCTAAAAGCGACATATCATATGCCAACGGTCCCACTAATCACCGGGCAAGTGCTTTGAGTCGGAGCAATCAGACACTAGTAGCCCCAAAAGAGAACAAGGTCAAAAAGAGAAGCGAACCTTTGAACCTCTCCAGTTAAAAAAATTTAAGAAATACAAATAATATTAAAAATTAAAAATACATATTTAATGCATTATTTTTATTAATTTAAAAAATTATTATTATTATTATTAAATGATAGTATTAGTAGTAAACATCACATTCCAGGGTTGTTGTGAGTAGTTATTTTTTTAATTATTTTAACATTGAAATGTATTAAAATAAATTAAAATACAACAAAAACTCATAATTTTTAAATTGATAATATAAGAAATTATGTTCAAATAAATATTATAGTAAGGAAAATTTGGGCGTATTATTGACTTATAGTTTATCTTGTTCTTTTTTCTTTCTTTTTTTTTAGATTTTTCAAGAAATAAATTTTGAGGAAATATAACTTGAGTCAAGTAAGTTATCATTAGCATGATTCATAAGCATTTATATTATTTAATAAATATGTTAAATTTAAATTACATTAAATATTAATGTACATTTATTCACAATTAAGTGAATTCCTGAATATCATTGATTTATATAAATAATTAAATTGGTGAATAGATTCATTTATTTTAGATTTGATTCATAATTAATTAATAATAAATATGAATTTAGACTTAAAATTTTAAATGAGTCGAAACACAAAATACATTTATCCACAATTAATTAAAATTATAAATATCATAAATGAATTTATAATTAATGAATAGTTAAAGTATAAAATAATGTTAGCTTAAATTTTATTAAACAAACCTTGATGACATGCTAAATAAATTAACATGACAATTAGAAGGGCAAAAATAAAGTTGACATTGCAGAGTTTGTATGTCACAAAAATAGATAATATTAAATAAAAGTATATGTACATTAGATACTAATATAAAAAATTTATAGTATTTGAATTTTTTTTCCAAGATTATTAAAAAATATAAAAAAGAAAACAGTAAAGAGAGATGGAGGGTAAACAAAGTGGGGAAGAAGAAGAAACACCAGCGCATATTTCTCTTTTCTTTCTCTGCTTTTCATGTTTTTAACCCTCCCTTTCACTGCAAAAGCAATGGAATGACCCCATTTTTATCCTACTACAATGCAGAAGAGCCCCATTTATAGATAATAAAACAAATAAAAGGGGAGAGAGTCAGAGCGATGAGAGATCTCATGGGAGTATGACACCTCTCTCTCTCTCTCTCTTCTGTGCTGCTGTTAATCTGATTCAAATAATTTCTTTTTTTTTTTTTTTGTTTTGAAGATATCTCTCTCACAAAAAAACAATTCATGAAATTCCATAAACTATTGCATCTTTTCTATCAGCTGTACACTTTCTTATTCCAAGTCTCCTCCCCAACTTTGAATCTTCTCTGTTCTCTATACCTATCTTTCAAATCCTTCATAATTCACATTCCTAGGTTTCCACAAAAATTTCACCCCTCGAAAAAGGGAAAATGAAAAAAAAAAAAAAAAAGGACCCACCAGAATCCAATTTCCCTCCCCACCTCCCCCTTTTTGAATGTACAAGGGCTGCACCTTCAATATATGAAGATGGGCTGATCCTCAAAATTCAGCCATTAACAATTCCTCAAAAACCTGCTGCTACCGACCTCTCCCATAAATTTACAGTCGATGGCTTTTTATGTGTCCCCATGGAGCTTTTGCTCAAAGATAGTAAACAGAAGCTGCATAATTCCCAGCGGGCACTCCAGAATGGTGCAGTCAAGATTGAAGGGGTATTCTCTGACTAGACAGGGGGACAATTCCCAGCATGGCATTCCAGAAAGCTACGTGTCTTGGACAAAAATTCTTCCTATAAAATCTCGAAACCTCTTAGAGTAGAGTTTTGGATCAACAGCTGATATCGAAGTAGGATCAGCTTGTAGGGATTTGTATGCATGCTCTAATTTCTTGCTGATGTCATAATCTTGTAAGATGTCGATGATGCCAAAGTATAAGACTACTTCATAAACTTCACCACTAGAAAAGTGACTGATTCCACCTTGACTATACCGATCAAAGTCACTTCTTCTTGCCATTCGCTCTGCTCTTGCTGGCATGTTTGCTCCTAGCCTAATTAATGGCTTCCTGATAAAACAAGATTACATAATAAAATTTGATTTCAGTACCTGCTGTACATCCTCAATTTTCACCAAGAGGGAAAATCAACAAATAAGGAAAAGAGATTTTTAAAAAGAATAACTAGTGATAGAAGCTTTGATTCCACTCTCAATCATGCATATCCACCGAGTTCATGAATCATTTCATAGAAACTAGATAATGGGCAATAAAACTCAACAAAACCCTTGGCTCTCATCTAGATCATAAGGCACCACAGTTGCTACCTACCCCACAAAAAATTTGTAGTCTTCTGAATTATAACCACAAGATCACTTAGACAACAAAATCAACCTTCAATTATTTCATAGGCTATGATGAAATTCAACCAAATGTTGGCAAATTCCATCACAACAGAAAGACGAAACCAACATAAACTTTGCAACTGCTAGTAACAAGACATACAATCAACAGTTAACCACAAAAATCAATAATTGAGACAGCCAAACATACCGGCCAGCCAAAATCCGATCCATGTCTTGTAGCTCTGCTTCAAGGAATCTACAGCCGCGCATAAACTTTTCATTTTGATATGAATCCTTTTTGCCTGCATAGGGTACGCATAATCAAATCCAAATTCTCATTGCAACAGAAATTCTCCATTCAAATTTCATATGAAATAGTTTGATTGTCTATTAACTTACCAGTGCGCAAGAGAAACGGCGATAAGCACATTTTATCACCTCTATTATCATCACGAAAGTGCAGTCCAACCAAAAGACTGTAATCCATAATTCTCTCAGCCTCCAAGAACTCACAATCTCGATCAATTTGCCTGCCACCATTTAGTTATAGGAAATTAATGATAAATGTGATATGGATGAAGTACTTAACAGGAGAGGGAGAGGCAGGAAGGGGAGTAGTAAAACAGCTTACCTCATAAGTTCCTGGAACCAATTTCTTTGGAGGCGAAACACAAAATTGAGATCCAGGTCTTTTAAGGTTGTGGTTTCATCAATTTCCTCTTCTGGTTTATCAGTTGAGCGACCATGAGAAGATCCTTTAAGGTCAAACCGTCTATGGATTCGGTACTCAGAGCAGAACAAATTGCCCATCACAATGAACCGGGTCTGGTATTTAACCACAATAATTATTGAGCAAGTGAGATAATTTCATTAGTAACTCAGTATATTTTCTATTTAATTCAAACACATACCTTCTGTCCACCAATAGGTTTGACACAATGCACGCCATAGAATTTTGTCACAAGGGAATTTTCATACCGGCAAACATGTTGGTAATAACTTGGAAGCATTCTTATAAGGACCTGACATAGTTAATCAAACTTTAGATTCAGTCTAATCATCCTACCTATCAAATATGTCTAGCTTTAACCAAGAAAGTAGTGTGAAAAATAAGGACCAAACAATTTTCCAATTTTTAATAATGCCAGTTGAGAAATTACTGCATCAACACACATGGCAACTTTCACATTAAGTCTAATGGATTGGCAACTAACCTTGACTTCTGATTTCTTTACTGTCTTTATCATAAATCTGTCATCTTGAGTAAGGTAAAAGAAGCTTCCACTCTTCCCCGGAGAAGAAAGCTCCCTAAGGGCATCATTGCCGCAAATAGCTAGCATGTAATCCGCAGGATCCACTTGGAATAGGCCCCTCAAATGTCTAAAAACCCAAAAGGAATCCAGTCACCAACATAGCAAGCAATTGAAACACAAACAAAAGCTAAAAATAAAATAAAATAAACAAAAGCAATGAAAACTTGTATGCAACCAAGCAAGCTGATCACTAATATTATCTTTAATCTCAAAATTTGCACATAAACTAACTAATTCTGAAAAACAAGTCAACTAAAAAGCAAAAGCAATATACCTAAACACCACTGGACAATAATCCTTCCACCGGAACTCCACCGATTGATGAGGTGGTGTAAGCTTTGATCCTTCAGCTGGAAACCTTGTCCAAAACTTCTCTTTAGGATCAAAATCACTTGGCTTCAATTCGCGCAACATGGAAGTATGTTTCCCAACAGAATATCTACAACAAAGAAATTCACCCAAAAAAAATAAAACCTCCAGATCAAAAAAACCGAAAACACATTTACCACCAAAAATATTCACCTGATACCCAGTTGCAGATTAAGCATTAAATCATAGTTCTTATGGCCTTTAGAAATCGTTTGTCCTGGCTTCTTAATTTCCCCACTAAAACAACAAGGATTTCTTCTAAATTGCCTAAACCCATCTCGATCCAACCCTAACCCATCTCTATAAATCATCGAAGCTTCCACATTATCAATTATATCACAAGTAATATCCCCTGCTTCACCATCACTTTCCCATATACAAATCCTCGGAAAATTCATATTCCTTTCCCCTAAGCTTCCCCTTCCATCTACCGATGATCTTTTCCTCGGCATAACCACCAAACTCTCCCCTCCTTTTAGACAAAGCTCTTTCCCATCGTTCCCACGATAAAACGTTCCGTTTAGTTGTTGAATTTTCTTCACGTTATCTTCGTTCCACGCTCCGATATAACAACTCCCGTCTGGCCAAGTAAAAACCCCGTTTCCATTGGGAGCTCCGTTTTCCCATTGCCCATCGTAACGGTTTCCGTTTGCCCAAATCAGGGTTCCACGACCGGATATGACGCCGTTTTTCCATTCCCCGACGTATTCGTTCCCGTTACTCCAAACATAACGGCCGTGTCCGTCTTGTAGGTTTTTTTTCCACGATCCTTCGTAGTAATCCCCATTGGCATAACGTTTATGGCCGTAGCCGTGTTTTCGATCGGAGCTCCACGACCCACGATAAGTGTCGCCGTCGGATCCGATGAACGTCCCGAATCCCTCCATCCGACCTGACTTGAAATCGCCTTCGAAAGTGGCTCCAGATGGCCACGAGAACTTCCCTTTCCCGGAAGCTTTCCCGCGCCGCCACTCCCCTTCATACATGCACCCGTCTTTCCAAAGGTACTTTCCCGATCCGTGCGGCGTGTTACCGGAGAAGCTACCGATGTACAGATCACCGTTGGGGAGGAGTTTCTCGACGGTAGCACCCGAACCCGCCGTCACAAAGTCTGTGAAGGTAGTTGTGGGAGTCACGCGCCGAGTTGTAGCTTGAGATCGGCTCAAGTGATGGTGAGCCGTAGGAGTAGTAACAGCAACCAACAGGTGGTCCTCATCGTCGGGTTTTTTCTTCTTGGTGTTTGAAATGACGTCGCTCTGCTCATTCAACAGCGCTTCGTGCATTTTTTTAACTCTTTTTCCCTTTCTCACTAGGAAAAAAAAAAATTTCCTTCTTTTCCTTCCTCAGCTTACTGCATTTGTGAAGCTGAATGAAAACAGAGAACCTGAAACGACGCCGGAGAGATGAACATTTCCGTCGACAAATTTCTTCTCTTTTCGTTTTGTTTTTGCTGTTCTGAAAAACTTCACTATTTTCTTTTCTTTTCTTTTTGTTTGTGTTGTCCTTTTTGTGCTTCGTGCTTTGGAATCCAACAAACACAAAAACGCAGATGGAGAACGAAGAGAGAGTCGAAAATAAAATAAACTAAATTTAAATAAAATTAAAAAGTTAAAATAAAAGAAAGGGCAAATTCAAAAGAAAGAAGAGGACGAAGGGTCAGGGAAGCCGCCGGCTTTTGGGTGGGGGAACGTTGCTCGGTATCCTGAGTGTGTGTGGTAAATTGTAATGTAAGTATCAGAAAACCAGCTCAGCTTATACCTCTCTTTTTTTAATACCGAATATGCCCTTTTGTTTTGTCAGAAATATCGCGATTCCCAAAACCGAATATCTTTATTTATTTATTTATTTTCCATCGCCTTCTCTTTTTTCTTTTTTTCTTCTTTGGTTTTCATCGTGACGCGACGGAATCGTCAAGGAAATGTAAGGGTATAAGTGCGTCATTTTGTGGCTGTTCTGTTTTGTCCTCGATTTTCACCTTAATTACCAAAACGCCATTTTCTTTTTAATTAATATTGTTATTAAGGTGAAAAAAGTTCGGCTTAAAAAAGTATACTTAAAAAAAATTATAAAAAATTATTATGAAAATTGATGATTTAAGATTTTTTAGTATTTGATATTTCTATAAAAATTTGTTGTGAAAAATTAAATGTCCAAAGAAGATTTGATATTGGAAAGTGAAAATAAATTATTTTTATCAAAAATAAATAGAAAATAAGTATTTGATCATTTTAAATTCAAACCATAAATTTAAAATTATAATTGCGTCTCTTAATTAATTTTTATAGTTGATTTATTTTTAACAATTAAAAAATATTTTTAACTCAAATTATAAAATGCTTAACATTGTTTTTTATTTAAAAACTGCTTTTTGAAATTCAAATGCAATTCTAAACAATACTAATCAATGGCTTACTTATTTTTGGGAGAGGGTGGTCCTTCGATCCCAGACAGATTGCTGGTCCAAAATTCGACGATTCTTTTGTTCATGCTTGGTTTTAAACGATCAAAATAGATTATTGAAGCTCAAAAACAATGTAAAATATGCTTATGACGAGGTATTCCACAAGAAAATAGTAAAAAAAAATAAATAAAAAGGGAATCTTGGTAGGTGGATATCATTCTATAACTAGAGCTTGATCGTTTTTCCATAATGGAAGTCGAATCAGATTTTAAAGATGACAAGAAATGTTCAAAATTAACTATAAATCCATTTTAGATCCCTATCTCTGACAAGTGTGATGTTAATATTTTGAAGCTCTAAACCTAATCCCAAATCCAAATGGTTTTAGAATAGTAAGACAAAAAAGAACACAGATTTGGCAAAAAGTTAGTACATTGGGCGATCAAACAAATGTTTTAGTGCAAAAAACCAAAAATTTTTTAATTGTTTCGATGAATGTTTAGGGGAAGCTTTGGAAATGGTGTCCAGCAAGGCGTTAAGGAAAAAAAAACTTGTTTTTGTTTATCCTTCGGGTAGGCCCTTTTTTATGAGTTGGATCTTTTCTATTGGGTGGGTCTTCAATGCTTTGAGAGAACAACCCAAAAATAGAAAGCATATAATAATATACAGAAAAAATTTTCTCATTTAGGCTAAGGTTGGCAGCTCAATCCACTCTAGCAAGTTTTATCCAATTTTATAAGATTAATTTAAGAAAATAAAAATTGAATTTCAAATTAAGTTAAATAATATTAAAAAAATTGAGGTCAAATCAAATTTAAATTTTAAATAAATCTAATCCAACTCGACTCGATATTATATAAAAATTATTTTTTAATTTTTTATTTATATATTTATATTTTAAAAATAATATTTTATTAATTTTAGATAATATCAGGTACGATTATATAATATCGAATCAGATATGATCGGATTCGAGTATTGAAAAAAAATTCTAAAAAATCGAGTCAGGTTCGAATTTTATAAATATAAAATCATGTCAGGTTCAGGGCGAGCCAAAACTCCCTCTGATCAGACCGTTTGTCAATCCTAATTTAGGCTCCTAAACAGTAAAATTAATTTTGATAAATTTAAAAATAATAATAATTATTATTATAATTATGATTAAAAAAAATTTATTGTAATTGTGATTGAAAATAACTCAATAAAAATTTTATGTTGAATGAATCTCACTAGAGTTGATCTTTGAATTCAACTAATAATTCAGTGAACTCAATTGCATCATACCGAAAATACGATGAAATCTAAATCTAATCTTATTTATTTTTAGATTTCATAATAGTAAGCTATATAATATATTAAACAATTATTTTAAAAAATAAAATATATGTCAATCTTTTAATTTTACTTATAAAATTAAAAAATTTTACTGTTAATATATAAAAAAATAAACTCATAATTTATTAATATTAATATTAAGAGGATGAAGAAGGAGAAAAAATACTTTCATATTTGAGAAAATCAGCAATTTTTTTTTTCTTTTGGAGTGTGTTTTGGTCATTCTTTCCTACTATTTGAGTTGGTTAATTTGGTTATTTGTCAAAATTTTTTATTAATTAGGAATATGATTTAGAAGGAGCTTTGAAAATGAAATCTCTTTCATGTAAATTCCACCTTGAAAATTTCTTGTTTTTGGTGTGTTCTATTTTGGAGAAACAAATAAAAAGTAGTTTTATGATTTAGCCTAATGGAATAGCATTAATTTTAGTAAGTAATAGCCTCTATTTTAATAATCAAACAAAATAAAAACCCATGCTTTGAGGTAGATGAGCTATTGAATTTTCGTTTTGTATTTTTTTCAATAAAGCAAAAAAAAAAAAAGTTTCTATTATATCTATGCCCTTTTATGGGAAACATTGCTTGGAATTAGTATGAGTATGGATATGGATAGAGAAGCTTTTATCATGCACTTTCAACAAATTCATATAGATTTGCTAAAATTTTACCCTTTTATTAAAAGAAAAAATATTTTACTCCTTCCGTTTCATTTTGTTTGTCATCTTTCATTTTTTATGTGATTTTATAATTTTATTTTATTCATTACAATTTAAGATGTATTAAATCATATTATTATTTATCTATTTACTATACCAATAAATCATTACTAACAAATTTTTAAAACAAAAAAATTTGTAAATATCAGTCATATAATTTTAACAAAAATTAAATTAACTTTCTAACTTATTGAATAAAAATTTAAGGTCTCCGATCGAGTACAAACAAATTTTTTTGTTTTTTAGTTCATTATATTTCCTTTTTTTATATAAATTTCCATTTTTAATTATACCTTAGATTTTTTTTCAACACAAAAGTTAGATTGAAACCACTTTATTTAAAAAGGTCAACAAAATCATAACTTTTAATCTAAAAGTTTCAAACTTTTATTTTTTTTAGTAATATATTTGACTTTTTTGTTTTAATGAAATATATATTGTTTAATAATTAATTTATTTATATTTTGTAAAAGAAAATTCTCCTAGTTTTAAGTTAGATTATTTATTTGATATATTATTTTTATACATTGGTTTATGAATCTATAAAATTTATAATTTTGAAAATTTATATATTTTATTAGTATATTTTGCATATATATAAATAATATAATAAAATACATTCTATGAAAAAAATTAAAATCCAATATAATATTAATTAGTCCCTTCTAAATCAACAGTCCAAATCCATCACTACTAAAATTTTTTTTCTTTTCTCATTCTTCCTTTTATACAAAAGAAGCGTTAAGATTTAAATCGCGTAAAATATTTATAAAATAAGGATTTCTCGTGAAATCATTTATCTTAATAGTATTCTTGCTTCAAACACACTAATTAATTTGTGATGAAATTCTATGGGTTAGTATTGATATTATAGTACCTTTTATATTTTTCATATAGTAATCTTCACAAGTATTATTATTATTATTATTGAAGAATTCACATAAAGGAAACCAAATTAAATGATTTTGTTTGATTTTAGACAAAGTCAACAAATCACAAATGCTCTTAAAGCATCATTTTTTTTTCTTAGATCTAGGGATGTAAATTTTATTTATATTCAATAAAAATTTTGATTTTTTATCCAAATGAAAACGTGAACGGATGTTATATTGTGAGTATAAAGATGGTGATAAGTATGATTTTAAATTTTTATCAAGTATAAAGATAAGAACAGGTAATATGATATTGGTCTCATACTCGTATCCTACATATATATTTATATATATTTAGTAAATAAATTTTTTATTAAATAACATAAATTATTATTTTAAATTAATTAAAATTAATATATTTTTATTGAAATAAAATATAATAATATATATTTATAAAAAAATAATCTAAATATATAAGATAAAAAAACTAAAAAAAATTTTATTTTATTTTTTTAAAATTATGGATATGAAAATTATTCATATCCAGTAAATATATATACGAATATGGGAATGAGAATAAAAAATATTTTATCTTATTCATGACATCCCTACCTAATCTTAATTTTATCATCACTTTTTTTTTTTTAATGTGAGAGTTTTGGATGTAAACATTAAACTACCCATTAATTGAGAAACATACCATATCTCATTCTTTTCCTTTCTTTTTTTGGCACAGTTGGGGTTCTGACTTTGGAAGAAAAGATGAAAAAAATGGTGAGCAGCTAAGCTGATGTTGAAAAATATTGGACCAATTAAAATGTGGATAAATGAGATTACATTTTGCTGAGACAGACAGGAGGCTTGTGAAATGAGAGACATACCGTGGACACATCCACCATCAGTTGTTCTCTTTCAAGTGCAGACACATTTACAATTTTTATCCAACGTTAAGCTTCCAATGTGTCATAATATTTCAATGTCTTTTCCCACCTAACACAGCAAAAAATTTGGGCTTCATTAATTTCTAGGTTTTTTTTTTTAATGAAAATACAAGTCATTAATGAATTAAATTAAATTCCATTAAATTGTCATCATATCATAAATAGAGCTGATAATTTTAAATGCCACATGATTGACATAATATGAAATTGATAAAAAAATATAAAAATAATATAATTTAAAATTTTAATATAAATTATATATGAATTTAATAAAAATAAATAATATGTATTATATTTAATGTGTCGATATGAATTTAATATAATAATTTTTATATTATATATATATTTAATATGAAACAAATATAACATAAATATATAAATTTACAAATTTATTTTATATATAAATATAAAATATTAAAAGGCGATATGAGTTCAATGGCTAAAATAGTAAAAAAGTTCATGAATTTTATTAAGATAAGTCT